ACTAGAGTGCTGGGCGGAAGTGAAGGCAGCATCGACCCCACAGCCAGCCCGTGCGGATCAATGGGGCCGACTCTTTGGAAAAACAAAATTATATTCTCAGCACTCAGGGCCGTTTCTGAGTCGCACTGATGGGCAGTTTCTGGAGAAATTCCCACTGATAGCTAAACTGTACATATTGCTGTTAGATATTGGAAGTTTGGTAAATGTTAACATTTACCAATAGTCCTTCATAGAACTGAGGAAAGGCAGAAGATCTTGAAATTTACCAGCACCTTAAATTAAGCATCCAAGCAACCACTTCCTTTCCATCTCTCTCAATGCTGGCCGTTTATTAATAATATGCCCTGGGAACATCAAAAAACAAGTGGTCACGACACAAACATTTCTGACGTTTCCCAGCAGGCCTTCTAAAATTACTGGTAAATGTCAACGTTTGCCGATTTCCTTACAATTTACTCATAAAGGACCCCTGTGCACGGTTATTAATGGAAGTGTAATGGAGAATGTGCATGCACACTAATGGTTGTGCACGTAGGCTGGTCCCACAACAGCGATGGTTTTCTGCACGGCTCTTGCTGCTGGTCTGAATGCAGAGGGCCTCTTGCAATGGCAAAGAAGCTTCCCCATGGGCTCTTTCCCCCACATTCCCCTTTCTTCTGCTTCCTCTGGTCTCCCTTTCCCTTCTGCCATTGGAGGGCTTTTCTCAAAAATCAGTGACAGCACAATAATATTACCATGATCTACAGCTGCAATCTACCAGACCCAAGGTTTGTTGGGGGTTTTTTTAAAACAAGTCACTATCCAACGCATTTCATTGCATAGATATAAGGGGAAAGGTGTACCATATCTCAGCAAAGGAAAGACTTTTTAAAAATGAAAATTGGCAACTGGATCGTGACAATAGAGCATCATACCGTTATTGCACTACAGCAATCTAGCAGCTGCGGATTATTTTTTTTTTTTAAAGGCCCCTAAAGTTTGCCAGTGCAGGGAAGGAGGACGGCAGGAGCTGAGATGAAACCTTCAAAAATGTGCACAATCCCATCCACATGGTGCACCAAAAAGCAGCTGAACTGTGCTCCTTCAATAAAAGATTATTATCTTTCCTAATCTCAAACCAGAAGGATCTCAGCAAAGCAAGGGGATACGTGGACCGTTAGGAGATGCCGCCGTGTGGGTGCTCCACACCCCCCAAAGCACATCAAAACCTCCATGTGGAAGCCACCAGTCACATGACGGCATGGAGAAAGTGTAACAAGAATGGATATAATCAACAGAGGAATCTCACACCAACCGAGTCTTCAAGTAACACAGGGCAATGTGCAGAACTGGACGATGCTAACTGGGTGGCATCCACAGCGACCAGTCAACTTGAGCATTGTGCACTTGGGGACTTCCCAGTGTACAATGTAAAAAATGTGCCTGATCAATCCACCCTGTCCATAAGCAGCTGCCAATTTCTACATATGGAGCAAGCAATGCATAACATCCTCTGTCAACCAGTGCACACTCTCTGCAGGCACCGGCATGGATGCACGTTCTCCAGTAACTGACATCACCCGCAATGTATACCACTGAAGAATAGCTCACGGGAACGTAAGCTTGGTCGCGGAAGGCCTTGTGAACAGGCAGGAGCGGATCAGCCATTTAGCTTACCGGGAAAGTTCCTGCTGGGGGGGGGAAATCACCAGTGGCCGGGAGTAATCCGAGCCAAGGGCCCCATTTGGTACTGGCAGTGCCGCAAGTGTCAATCAACTCAGACCGCAATAATGACAACAACAGGGCTAGGCATGCCCACTGTGGGAGTCTACGCCTGTTACCGATCCCATCTGCCCTTTGTGAACAAATTTAAGATAGTTTCCACACACATCGGATAATGCACTTGGCGATAGTTTGCAACTGGCTTTTCCCATTCCACGGAAGAAAATCCAGTTGCACATGACTGTGCATTGAGAGTGCATTATCCAGCAATATGCGACAGTGGCCTCAGACTCACAAGATCAAATGCAGGCATGCTGCGAGGGTGAAACATTCCTGCGGGGCTAGAAACCCAAAACTCCCCTAGAAGCTGTGAAGGCACATCAGTGTTCGGCAAAACGACCCACAAACATCCCCACTACCACTCAGTGTGCTTAAAGTCGGCTTCATGCCCAAATTCGAAGAGGCATGCACTTCCTTTCTTTTAGGGAAAAAGTAGAGAGAGAGAGAAATCTTTTCTTCATACACCACTGAAATCTCTGCAAAGATTACATAAAACACAGTCTGGGTATAATTTGGTTGTATGCAGGGCAAAACCTTTTTTGGGATGCTGCAGAATCACTTCCATATGACAATAAGCACAACAGGAAACAAAACCAACCTCTGTTTTAAAAATATGTATGTACACAGGCCATTTAAAAAAACCCAAACCTTAGATGTCAGCTTGTTCATTAAAAGCCATTTTAAAAAACACAAAACAGTAAAGGCAGTCAGCTGATCAACGGATTTGCTACAGAGCTCCAAAAACAGGACCTCAAAAAATAGTAGTATATTCTACCTGGAAGGCTTGATGTAAATATAAGTGCATATTAAGAGCTCCCGGAGATCTAGGTAGCAATCTTTAGAACCAGGTCTCTGGAGCAGTCTTTCTGGACTGGACAGACCTAGGCTGGCGGACTGACCCTCTCCCACAAAATCAAAAGCCACCAGCCGTTTATCCCTGAACGGCATCAATTAAATCAACAGAACAAACCCCCAGTGTAAGTGGGTGGGGAGACCAACCTGTAACATTTTAGCTCTTGGTACCCTGAAAATGGAACTGTTGGGACCGATACCGAGGAATGCTAATGGTCCTTGTCTCCCCCTGCCGGGTTATCCGTTTTAGAGGGAGACAAGTGTTCTCAGCACTCCGCAGGATGAAGCCCTTGAAAGTTACTTCCCTTCCGTGCTAGATCCCTCAACAGAAAAGAAAACACGTTTCAGGTTCTTCCCTCTTTGCATCCCAGTGTAAACCACCCCTCCGGATCAAGGGCCGCTTGACAAACGACACTTGTGTGAGTGAAACGGCCCAAAAGGAGGAGCTGAAGAAAAGAGCATGCAGGCAGATTCTCGAAATCCACGGGGCTTCTTCACCTGAAGGTCTCCCCCTCCGTAAAGTACACGTCATTGCCCTTGACTGGTAAAGAAAGATTTCGTCTCTCGGCAGACCGGATTCACGCAGAGCGGGCAGCTGAGGGTTAACTGCTTGGAGCAGATTTCATTCGACTGCAGGTGGGAACAGACCAAGTCTGCTAGTGCCTGGAAGTGTTTTTAAAAAAACCAAAATTGTTAACCAATGTCATGCTTCCAAACTGATAAGCAAGAGCAAGTAATGGCAAATGAGGGGTAGTAAAAAAAATATCACAAGGCTTTGTACAACACTTGAAAAATACTACTAGCGAAGAAGGAGAGAAGAGATTGGATTTATACCCCGCCCTTCACTCAGAGCGGCTTACAAACTCCTTTCCCTTCCCCTCCCCACAACAGACACCCTGTGAGGTAGGCGGGGCTGAGAGAGCTCTTGACAGAAACTGCTCTTTTTCAAGGACAGCTCTGACAGAACTACGGCTTGCCCAAGGTCATCCAGCAGCTGCAAGTGGAGGAGTGGGGAATCAAACCCGGTTCTCCCAGATTAGAGTCCGCACACTTAACCACTACACCAAACTGGCTGTGGCTTAGTGGAAGAGCCTCTACTTGGCATGAAGAAGGTCCCAAATTCAGTCCCTGACACCTCCAGTTAAAAAGGGTCAGGGAGTAAGTGTTGTGAAAGACTTCTCCCCAAGACCCTGGAGAGCTGCTGCCAGTCTGAGTGGACAATAATGACCTTAAGAACGTAAGAGTGTTAAAAGCCCTGCTGGATCAGACCACCTAGCCTGGCATGCTGTTTCACACAGTGGCCAACCAGTTCCTCTGGACAGCCAACAACAGGGCATAAATACCAAGGCCTTCCCCTGATGTTGCCTCCTGGGTCTGGGATTCAGAGGTTTAGTGCCTCTGAATGTGGAGGTTCTCCTCAGCCACTGTGGCTAGTAGCCATTGATAGACTCATCATCTATGAATCCATCTAATCCTCTTTCCAAGGTGTTTATTTCAGTGGCTGTCACTACATCCTCTGGCAGCAAATCCCACATTTGAATCACTCTCTGTGTAAAGAAGTATTTCCTTCTGTCTATCCTGAATCGACTACCCATCAAATTTAGAGTCTGGTGGCACTTTTAAGACCAACAAAGGTTTATTCAAGGTATGAACTTTCGTGTGCAAGGCACACTTTTTTCAAATACGTAAAATGACAAAAAAGGTTCAAACTTATAGCCAGAGAAAGTGTGCCTTGCACACGAAAGCCCATACCTTGAATAAAACTTTGTTGGTCTTAAAGGCGCCGCTGGAGTCTAAATACGTTCTATTGCTTCAGACCAATACGGCTGACCAACTGGATGTATCTACTACCCATCAGTTTCACTGGCTGCCCTGATATTTTGGGAGAGGGAGAGAAGAGATTGGATTTATACCCCGCCCTTCACTTGGAGTCTCAGAGCGGCTTACAAACTCCTTTCCCTTCCCCTCCCCACAACAGACACCCTGGGAGGTGGGTGGGGGCTGAGAGAACTCTGACACAAACTGCTCTTTTTCAGGGACAGCTGTGCCAGAGCTTGTGACTGACCCAAGGTCACATCAGCAGGTGCAAGTGGAGGAGTGGGGACTCAAACCCGGTTCTCCCGGATTAGAGTCCGCACACTTAACCACTACACCAAACTGGCTCTCTGTGTCAGCTCTCTCCATCCCATGCATTACGGTATAAACCTCTCACATGTCTCCCCCACCCCAGTCGTCCCTTTTCTAAACTGAAAAGTCCCATATTCTTCAGCCTTTCCTCATAGGGGAGGTGCTCCAACCCCGCTCATCATCTTGTTCGCCTTCCTCTGTAAATTTCCCAGCTCTGCCGTGTCCTTGTTGAGATAGTTTTTATCCGAGAGCTATTACTGCCTTAAATGCTGTATGAAATTGGAATTTGGGTGACACTGGTGGTTATAAGCTGTTATGTGAACCTTAAGGGAGTTATGGGACAGTGTGAGTATGGTGTGTGAGTGTATATGAATATTGTTGCAGATCACCGAAATGATTGCATCCTTAATTTCGTTGTACTATGTACAATGACAATAAAGTATATTATTATTATTATACGGTGACAAGAACTGTACACAGTGTTCCAAAAGAGGCTGCACCATAGCTCTGTACGGGGGCCATTACAATATTGGCTGTTTTATTCTCCATCCCTTTTCTCGTAATCCCTAACATCGTTTGCCTTTTTTTCACCGCTGCAGCACAGTGTGTCGACACTTTCACTGAGCTATCCGCTACAACCCCAAGATCTTTTCCCCTCTCAGACTCAGCGAGTTCAGAAGCTGGGCTTTCTTGACCCAATGTGCCTCAGCTTACACGTACCAACAAGGAACTTCCACTCGCCACATTGCTGCCCGTTCACCCAGTTCGTGGGGATCCTCTTGGAGCTCTTCACAGGGTTTGATCAGGTGGGCGATAGTACACCCCACTTTTAAGTAGCCCTTAGGGCCCAGTATTTCCCACCCATATCCCTCTCCAGTTACCCTCACTTCCCCCGGCCCCTTAGTTGCCACACACAGCCCTCAGTCGCCATCCTACCATCATTCCTAAATTCTATTATGCTCCTGTCAATATCACCCTGGGTGCCGCTTATGCAATCATCTCTTTGGACTGACTCGTCCCAAACCGGAGGCTCCCCAGCTCCTGCCAGCTTTCCCTGGATGGACGGATGGTCCGATTCCGTAGAAGGAAGCTTTGTGTGCTCACTGCTAGCGGATTTTGTAGAGGAGAGGAACACAAGAGGCCGATTCGCACTCAAAATAGAAGGAAACCGGGAAGCGTTCCATCAACGGCACGATCCGTTCGCATGAATTTCTGGTGCAGATTTCTGCTTTCTTAATCGAAACACTCGGTCAACTAGAAGCTGATGCTGATAATTACTGGGATTCAGATTTAATTACGCGTCGTGTTTTGTGTGCAACGGCTAACGGCCCCAGATGTGGATTGCTCATCGTAATTACCTTGGCAAACAGAGGATTTCCATTGAGTGATTCTGCTCTTCTGATGTTTTCAACCCCGCACTGGGAAAGGAGGACAAAGAGTTAAAGCACGGTACTGCTATAGGAAGAGGAGAGAGAGGAGACGGGATTTACACCCCGCCCTTCACTACCTGAAGGAGTCCCAGAGCAGTTTACAATCTCCTTTCCTTTCCCCTTCCCACAACGGACACCCTGTGAGGTAGGCGGGGCTGAGAGAGCTCTCTCGAGGACTGCTCCTGAGAAGATAGCTCTGAAAGAACTTGTAATTGACCCAAGGTCACACCAGCAGCTGCATGTGGCGGAGTGGGGAATACAGCAGCTGTGCATTTGGCACCAGACACACGACTCACATCTTTAGAGGCCTCATAAACATCCTTGTCTTGTGTCTACTGATCTTGCTGCTTAAGTAATATAACCATTTTTACTACACTGTAAGTTTTTTTAAAAATTGATTATTCATATTCAATTTTCTTTTTTCTACAGCTTTCCTTTTTTGGTCCAGTATTAAGTTATTGGTTATTTTATTGTAATATGTAATATTGTAACATGTGTACCTCAAACTGTTTGACCTCTGAAGAAGGCCCCCAATAGGGCGGAAACACGTCAGGTGACTTGTATTGGCCCTTGTGTCCAGGCCCTTGTTTGTTTTTAACTGACTTTCTAATAAATACATGTAGCCCCCTGTCACATGGGCCGGATATCGCGGGGGGGAGGCGTGGCTAATTGCCCCGGCGCAGTTTGATCCGCGATTACGCGATCAGATGCGCCGGCGGCACACCATGGGTCCTTCCCTCGGTGCCGGCGGGTAAACAAGGAACCGGAAGGGAATGCCGCGCGCCGGCGCGATCACACCACAGGCGTCTGGAGGCAGCCTGTGGCAAACGTTTACTAGTACCTTGGAGGTACTAGTTTTTTAATGCGCATTGTCGGCGGTAAGCCACGGGTGCACTCCACTTCCCAGATGTTGGGGTGTGATTGCGCCCGGATAATCCGCCCACCATTCGTGCCTCTCCCGCGGCAACTTTGCCGTGAGACCAGGGCCGTATTTTTGTATATGTTTACACTAGCTTTTTAATATTGGCCCTTTATCAGACTTCATTCTTACCGGAGTGGGGAATCAAACCTGGTTCTCCCAGATTAGAGTCCGCGCTCCTAACCACTGCACCAAGCTGGGACTTTGGCTAGCTCAATGATACAGTTTGTTAGAACTGGGCTTGATCATACATCATGAAAATAGCATAAGACCCACTTTCCTGTGTCCTGATCCCATGCCACGGTGGTAAAACCCTGATAAAGGAACAGCGTGCACTGAACTATGTGGGTCTCTCTACAGAGCTATTACTAGATTGGGAAAAGACTGGACCAGGAAATAGAAACCTTTTTCTTTCTCTCAAAGCACTGGCAACAATCGTTTCTGCCCCAAACTGTGCTACTCACATTTTTTGCAAATATGATCAAGCACTTGAATTCTTTTCATTACGGTCAATATCTGTACCTACAATCCACTCTGGATATCTGCCTGCAGCACCCTAATACACACAAGCAACCTGATCCTAAACATGTCTGGGTGACCTGGGGCCAGTCACACACTCTCAGCCTAACCTAACTCACAGGGCTGTTGCGAGGATAAAAGGGAGGGAAATGACAGAAGTCGCTTTGGGTCCCCACTTGGGACAAAAGCAGGGATACAAATAAATATTCAGAGGAAAATATCCATCAAGTGGCCCCTACCTGGTGGAACGAGCTCCCGGAGGAGATCAGAGCCCTGCGAGACCTTATGCAGTTCCGCAGGGCCTGTAAGACGGAGCTCTTCCGCCAGGCTTTCACATAGGGACCGCCGTTGCCACCACCACCAATGAGGTGGACAACATCGGGGTTAAGGATGACCCAGGAAGATCTGCCATAATTTCTGCGTGGCCACTGGATTTACCTGGTTGAGCTATAGGATAACATCACCCTGGAGAACCATCCGGAGACCATCTTGTTAAGTTGAGTAAAATTTTTATTAATTGTCATTAATGTTTTATTGCTTTTATCTATTTTATATGGGTTTTCCCCTTGTAAGCCGCCCTGAGCCCACTTTGCGGGGAGGGCGGGGTATAAACCTTAACAAATAAATAAATAAATAAGTTTAACAGGGTTTGCTTCCCACAGCACGTGCTGAGGACTGCAGCTATAGACCTCCCCATCTTCACACCCTGGGGTCAGAATGGCTACTGGGCGGGAACAGCAAATGGTTTCGCGGTAGAGGCTGGGCCAGGTCTCAGCGGCAGAGCCTGTGCTTTGCATGCAGAAGGCCGCATGTTCAATCCCCGGCCTCTCCAGCTAAAACCATCAGCCAAAGATCCTTCACATCGCCTGCTTACCTAAGACCCCGGAGAGCCATCACTGGTCAGAGCAGACAACACTGACCTTGGCGGAGCAACGATCTGACTCCATAAACGGCAGCTTCACTCAGGAAAGGACCACGGTTCAGTGATGGCGCATCTACTTCTCATACAGAAAGCCCCAAGTTCATAGAATCACAGAATCACAGAGCTGGAAGGGGCCATACAGGGGCCCTCTAGTCCAACCCCCTGCTCAGTGCAGGATCAGCCTAGAGCAGTGGTGGCGAACCTTTTAGAGACCGAGTGCCCAAACTGCGACCCAAAACCCACTTATTTATCGCAAAGTGCCGACACGGCAATTTAACCTGAATACTGAGGTTTTACTTTAGAAAAAAACCACTCACACATTAACTTAAGATGATCCAAACAAAGTAAGGAAAGCAATCCCAAATGCTTTCATTTACTTAAAATTATTTGGCAGAGAATTCGACACTTCAATGATGGTCTGGGCCTGGCTGGGGCGATGGCACGCGTGCCCACAGAGAGGGCTCTGAGGGCCGCCTCTGGCACCCGTGCCATAGGTTCGCCACCACTGGCCTAGAGCATCCCTGACAAGGGTTTGTCCAGCCGCTGCTTCAAGACTGCCAGGGAGGGGGAGCTCACCACCTCCCTAGGAAGCTCATTCCACTGTGGAACAACTTACTGTAAGAAAGTTTCTCCTAAGATCCAGCCGGTACCTTCCTGCCCTTAATTTAAGCACATTCTTGTGAGTCCTCTCCTCCTCTGCCAACAGGAACTGCCCCCTGCCCTCCTGTAAGTGACAGCCCTTCTAGTACTTCAAGACAGCAATCATGTCCCCTCTCAGCCTCCTCTTCTCCAGACTAAACATTCCCAAGTCCCTCAGCCTTTCCTCTCAGAGCTTGGTCCCAATCCTCCTCGTCGCTCTCCTCCGCACGCGCTCCATTCTGTCAATCCCTCTTGTCGCCACTGGAAAGGACCAGGAAGTCTATGATATGAAAGACCTCAGCCTGAGACCCTGGAGAGCTGTCGCCGCTCAGGGTGGACAGGACCAACCTGCAGAGATAGACAGTCTGACTCATCCCAAGGCGATTCCGTGTGTTCTTACCTCAGTGGCTAGCTTCTGCGAGTACTCAATGTCCAGTTCGTAAAGCGTTTCGATGTGGTCGCTGGTAAACGCTATCGGGACCAACAAAATATTCCTCTTCCCCCTTTGGCAGAGGCCTTTGATGGTCTCATCGGTCTGGGGACCCAGCCAGGGCATAGGGCCCACCTAGGACAAAAGAAGCAAGGCAGCAAGAATCGGTGGTAGAAAGTGCTGTGAAGTCATAAGAACATGAGAACATAAGAGACGCCAATGTTGGATCAGGCCAAAGGCCCATCCAGTCCAACACTCTGTGTCACACAGTGGCCAGAAATACCAGGTGCCATCAGGAGGTCCACCGGATCTAATGAGAGCCGGCTAGCCTGGGCCAGAATTAACCCCTCTTTATTCAGCACCATTCACAAGTGAAGTCTCCAGCAGCACCATCAGTGACGGACTGGCAAGACAAGCTATGGGAACACCTGGTCATGGCAAGAATTGCTGATTCGCTCAGGTGTGCACAATCAGATACCCCACACCACTCCACATTTGTGTCAGCTTGGTTCCCTGTAGTCTCCTATTTACAGATTCTAGATATTCTCCCCCCTAACCCTCTTTATCTGAAGTGGTTAACCTTGTAGGTTTAGACCCCTTCCATTTAAATGGCATTCTTGTAGACGGATGCACTGTATTACGCTGTATTGTGCTTTAATTTAAAATTAATAAAGATGATTTTTTTAAAAAAAACAAGTGAAAGTTAAGGCTTTAGATAGCAGGCAGGAAAGAAGGCGAAAGTAAGAAGGAAAAGGGGATAGGTACCAGTGCCAGTGTTCCCTTTAAGCTGAGTTAGTGTGGGCTAGCTCAGTTTTCTCAGCCTCCGGCTCACACCTTTTTGTCTTAGCTCAGGAAGGGTGGCTCCAGAGCAAACTGATTTAATGCAGCAGCCAAATCGCTTGCTCACAACTTTAATGCCAGTAGCTCACAAAGTAGAATTTTTGCTCACAAGACTCTACAGCTTAGAGGGAGAACTGGGTACCACCCCACCATGCAGTTCTTCTGCACCAACCCTGCTGAAAGTAACGCAGTACATGGAACAGCTTCAGTTCAACTACAGGCAGTGAGTTACCCTCGAGAGCATCACAGGTCAACAGGAAATCAGGGATTAGGAGTATAGTATGGCCTTCTTCCTAAAGTGCCGTGTTTTCTCCTGCACAGTGTTTTAGACACAAGCAAGCATCCCCCCAACAGAAGAAGAAACACTCTGTATCCCACAGTGGCCAGAAATACCAGTGCCATCAGGAGGTCCACCAGTGGGGCCAGGACATTAGAAGCCCTCCCACTGTTGACCCCCCCCCAAGCACCAAGATGACAGAGCATCACTTGCCCCAGAGTCCCTATCTATACCTTGTGGCTAATAGCCACTGATGGACCTCTGCTCCATATGCTTATCTAATTCCCTTTTGAAGCCGTCCATGCTTGTAGCTGCCACCACTTCCTGTGGCAGTGAATTCCAAGTGTTAATCACTCTTTGGGTGAAGAAGTACTTCCTTTTATCCGTTCTAACCCGACCGCTCAGCAATTTCATGGAGTGCCCACGGGTTCTTGTATTGTGAGAAAGGGAGAAAAGTACCTCTTTCTCTACCTGCTCTTTCCCATGCATAATCTTATAAACCTCAATCATGTCACCCCTCAGTCGTCGTTTCTCCAAGCTAAAGAGCCCTAAGCGCCTTAACCGTTCCTCATAGGGAAAGTGTTCCAACCCTTTTATCATTCGAGTTGCTCTTTTCTGCACTTTTTCCAAAGCTATAATATCCTTTTTAAGGTGTGGTGACCAGAATTGCACACAGTATTCCAGATGAGGTCGCACCATTGATTTATATAGCGGCATTATGATATTGGCTGATCTGTTTACAATACCCTTCCTAATAATCCCCAGCATAGCATTGGCCTTCTTTATTGCAGTCACACACTGTCTCGACATTTTCAGTGAGTTATCTACTACAACTCCAAGATCTCTCTCTTGATCTGTCTCTGCCAGTTCAGACCCCATCAACGTGTATTTATAGTTAGGATTTTTGGCTCCAATGTGCATCACCTTGCACTTGGCCACATTGAACCCCATTTGCCATGTTGACGCCCACTTGCCCATCTTTGACAGATCCCTTTGGAGTGCCTCACAATCCTCACTGGTTTTCACCACCCTGAACAACTTTGTATCATCCGCAAATTTAGCCACTTCACTGCTTACTCCCAACTCCAAATCATTAATGAACAAGTTAAAAAGCAGTGGACCAAGTACTGATCCCTGTGGTACCCCACTGCTTACACCCCTCCACTGGGAGAACTGCCCATTTATACTCACTCTCTGTTTTCTATTAATTAGCCAGTTTTTGATCCATAAAAGGACTTGTCCTTTTATCCCATGATTTTTGAGCTTGCTTAGGAGCCTTTGATGAGGAACTTTATCAAAAGCTTTCTGGAAGTCAATTTCCACGCAACATATAGCACCAAGCACACATTTAATAATGGCAGCAGATATGATCAAACGGCAATCAAGCACAGACTGTTTCTGATTTAGAGAGCTGTAAAAGCTACCCCCTACTGCATACCTTGGACTGCCACACGAGCCTGTAAGGGTTGGAATAGTTGACTTTCTCCATAACCCTCTGGACAGTGGCCCCCACCTCTTGTGGGTATGGATCACCTCGATTAACTACCTGCGGCACAACAAGAAAAAGCTTCAGCTCTTTAAAATCCCTTTCGGATTAAAGTGTGCACCGGAAACATTTCAGACTCTGCCACCCACCTAAAACCAGTCCCCTCCCACTACAGCACTTGTGTGACACGGGATTTTCCACAGTTATCTTTGTTCAGGAAGACTCACACAAGATGCAGGAGGTTCCCTAGAGCCAGATTGCCCCTCTTTGATTTTAGCCACATTATAACACAGGTAGAGAGATGCCCTTCCGAGAAATTTGGCCACAGTGGGAAACAGGATGCTAAATTAGACAGATCGTTGGCCTGATCCATCAGGCCTCCTTCTACTTTGCTTTGAGCAATGCAATTAGAGGCTCCGCCTTTCCCACCTAGAAAATACATGTCCCTTCCTGCCCGAGGGACAAAACTGACCTCAGAGGTGAGAGAGACACACACAGAAACTGAAGGTGCCAGGACTGGGAATACTCCAGGACTCATAAAAGGGACATTCTACATTTATTTATAAAGGAGGGCTACATGATTCTCAATTTATTTATACTGTAAGCTACCTTCAGTTCTGTAAGGTAGAAAGGTACACAGTAAAATGTTTTCAGTAAATAAATACATTAAAACCCATGAAAGACTAAAGGATATGGATCATGACCGACCTTCGCATGACAGCAAAAAAGTCTTCCGAGAAAAAGTGCACCATGCACCTCAATTAGCATATTATCAAGAACTGATTATAGTATGAAGGCATTTTATTCATGCACCTTTGTAACCTCAACATGTCCCTTTCCTTAATACTTATTTCACAAACTTGAAGCTCACCTGGCACTCGATGAGCCAGAACAAGAAATGTTTACCTGGGCTTTGAACCAAGGGAGTTCCATCTTTCAGAGCTATTTTAGGGGTTGCCCCTAGCCTAACTACTGTTTTGTGGGTATCCTGTTAGGCAGCTCAACGAGGTTTTATGCTGTTTTTATGCCCCTGGCTTGTTTGTATTACTGACCATTTTAATGTTACTGTTTGTAGTATTTTATTCGTTTTTATTTTGCAAACTGCCTCAAAGCAGGTCTCTGGAGAGGCAGCACATTCATTTCTAAACAGACAGACTCCAAGAGCTGTACACTTCAAGAGAGGATGAACCAGTATTAACTGAACAACGGTGGGTGCCTAGACCCCAAGGAACTGATGAACAGTGTTCCCTCTAAGCTAAGTTAGTGTGAGCTAGCTCACAGTTTTTTAGCCTCCAGCTCACACATTTTTGTCTTAGCCCAGGAAGGAGGGCTCCAGAGCAAACTAATTGATGCAGTAACCAAATAACTCGGGCTCTTTTTGTAGCAGGTACTCATTTGCATATTAGGCGACACACCCCTAATGCAGCCAATCCTCCAAGAGCTTACAGTAGCCCCTGTAAGAAGAGCTCTGTAAGCTCTTGGAGGATTGGCTACATTAGGGGGTGTGTGGCCTAATATGCAAAGGAGTTCCTGCTTATTTTGGACCAATCTTCAATGATGTAACCAAAATCTTGCATCCAAGTGAAGAATTTTTGCTCACAAGACTCCGTAGCTTAGAGGGAACATTGCTGATGAATCCTTACTCATTCGTCAAAACCATAAAATAATTGTGTGGGTGTGTGAGAGAGAGAGAGTGTATGAGAAATGCCATTAAGTTGCTTCGGACTCTTGGCAACCCCTAAATGTCCTCTCATTAACAGCCTTGGCTCAGGTCTTGCAAACTGAGGGCCTTTGTGGCTTCCTTGATTGAGTCCACCCATCTCCTGTTGGGTCTTCCTCTTTTCCTGCTCCCTTCGACTTTTCCTAGCACTGTCGTCTTTTCCAGCAACTCTTTGTCTTCTCATGATGTGACTGAAGTGCGATAGCCTTCAGTTTAGTCCTTTTAGCTTCTAAGGAGAGCTCAGGCTTGCTTTGATGTAGAGCCCACTGGTTGGTCTTTCTGGCAGTCCCGTGCTATGAAATTCTCCCCCAACACCACATTTCAAATTAATCTACTTTCTTCCTGCCAGCTTTCTTCATTTTCCAACTTTCACACCCTTACACAGGGGGATCAAAATCTGCTTTAAAAAACCCCCAAAGAGGTACCCAAATCCAAAGCTGGGAGGTAAAGGTAAAGGTTCCCCTGCTCGAAAGCCAGTCGAGTCCGACTCTAGGGGTGCGGTGCTCATCTCCGATTCAAAGCCGAAGAGCCAGCGCTGTCCGAAGATGTTTCCGTGGTCATGTGGCCGGCATGACTAAACACCAAGGCGCACGGAATGCTGTTTCCTTCCCACCGAAGTGGTACCTCTTTATCTACTTGCAATTTCTTGCTTTCGAACTGCTAGGTTGGCAGGAGCTGGAACTAGAGACGGGAGCTCACTCCGTCATGTGGCAACTCAGGTCTTGAACTGCTGAACTACTGACCTTCCACAGCCTGCAGTTCAGCGTCTTAACCACTTGAGCCACCGCAGCTCCTAAAGCTGGGAGAGGGAGAATCAAAAATCACTGTGTACCATCCTTCAACTCAAGCGATGTGCCTGAACCTCAAGATCCTTATCCGATGCTCTGTAGCCATATTTATACCATCTGTTTTGCTACTGCTGACCACAAGATGGCACCACAGACCCAAGAACAGCAGAATCTTTGCTCTAGTTGAGACTTGGGATTGGAAAGGTGAGAAGGGACATAAAACCAGTATTCTGATGCTACGGTTAACAGTGGCGGACGAAGCAGGACTAGTTGGGTTAAGATACTTTTTTAAAAAAGCGACTCAAATACTCCTCATAGAGTCTGCTTCCAAACCCCCCACCACTACCCGATCTACTCCAAGAGCCATAATCCTGCTCTGGAAGCATCAATGGCAGAAAGGAGGACTTGAACCTGGGTCTCCCAGGATGCTAGCTGGTCCATCCACTACACCACACTAGAGATGTAAAGGTTCTGGAAATTTTGAAGCCATGGGGGGGAGGCACCCCTTTTTTCCTCCCCCCCCAAAAAAACCCCCAGAAATTTTTGGAAAAATTGAAAAAAAGGCAATATTAGATTGAAAGTCACTTTGTTACTTTGGGAACATAAAATGCAGCGTGCATAAATTGGCTCTGCATAAAAGTATCATGTCTGATATACTAAGAGTAAAGTTCACTCAGAAAATAATATCAATTTTAAATTTAAATTTCAGTACTACAAAGTACTGAAATGTATAGAACACCTGAACTATAAGGAACCTCTTTTGCCAGTTTGAAAGCAGGCAAAAAAACCACACACAACAAAAACGGAAGAAAACAATAGCATAACAAAACGAACATTATTATTTGTCTCCTCTAATCCTCCTACCCCTCCATAGTACAAACAGCTGAGAGGATAGAAACCGATTCACCAACTATATACCAACAAGACGAACCCCACAAGCAAAAAGGAAACTGAAACCTTTTTCCTTCTCCTGTGAAAGCTGCAGTGCCCCCTAGAGACAGAAATGCATCTTTCTGTCCCATTTGAGAATTGTGTCCTCAGTATTTTCTCAGTATCTGAACTGTATTCCAGCATTTGCTTATCCTCAGTGTACGTGAATTGCAATAATTTGATAGTATACATAGTCTTACATCAACGGTTCCATGTTACATACCTTTTAGAAATAACATTGGAGAGTTAGATATATGAACACCTTGTCATAAACATGTTTCTCCCCAGCAGGGCTATTTTTGGGGCAGGAACGCACAGGAACGGAGTTCCGTCTGGCTTCAGAGTTGGCCACACCCACTACAGCCAAAACCTCTGTGTCCATGGCTACAGAGGGAAGGCCTGGAGAGCGACTCCCCCGGCGACTCTGGGGTGGGCAGGCCAGGGGGGCCCTGGAAGGATTGGGGAGGCATTTAAATGCCTCCCCGTGCCTTCCCTAGCCTGTCCAAGGGCCGGCTTGCCTGGGCTCCCTGCAGCTGCAGGGCGCCTGGGCAATCCAAGGGAAGGCATGGGGGTGTTACCTAATATGCTAATGAGCTGTGCTATCAGGGGTGTGGCCTAGTATGCTAATGAGTTTCTGCTGTTGGGTGTGGCCTAGTATGCTAATGAGTTCCTGCTGGGCTTTTTCCTCAAAAAAAGCCCTGCCCCCCCAGGAAAAATGGCTTAAAAAACAACACACACACCCCATTTTTCCATCCTCCCCCAAAACCACACAAACCAACAAGGCTGGGAATAAGGCTCTTCTTGAGGGAGGGATTCAACCCTTCCCCACATGGCTTTTTGCTACTCACAGACATGGGTAGGGAATGAGCGGAGAAAAGTATAACAACGTCTTTCCTCTTATCGGGTGGAAACAGGTCCAGCTCCTTCTGGATGTGGTCTGCAAAACACTGAACACAAGAAGCAAAAGAAGTCAGGCGTCGCAAGGGTGACTCCTCCAATCAGGAGGACTGCTGAAACAGAGCCCAGGATCTGAATGCAAAATACTTTGCTGATTTTCTTTGGCCACAACACGGGCCCATTACCAGCCAGTTCGGGAGGGGCCGCGGCTCAGAGTTCGAGCCTCTGCCTTTTCATGTGGAAGGTCCCAGGTTCAATCCTCAGCGTCCCATAAGAACGTAAGAAAGCCATGTTGGATCAGGCCAATGGCCCATCCAGTCCAACACACTGTGTCACTGTGTCCAAAACTGAGGTGCCATCAGGAGGTCCAGCAATGGGGCCAGGACACTAGGAGCCCTCCCCACTGTTGCCCCCCCC